GCAGAAGGGAAGGATGCTTGATGACCGTGACCTTACAAAATAAGACGAATATCTCCAGGCCTCAAAACGCTGCTTTAAATCTACCTTCATATCTGCTAAACGATTTTCTGATTAAAGTTACGAAACTTTCTCACCGCAAAAAAATCGTTACGCCAATTTACGCAAGCACTTTAGATGTGTTTTAGTGTAGGTCTTAACACCGAAAATAACGCGCTTCTTATCTCTGAGTTTTGGAGCAATTAATGGCAGATAGCAAATTTTCGCGAAAGAAGTTTTTAAAACCTCCTTCAAAACATCGTATAGCAGATGTGGAAGACAGATTGAATTAGGTATTGGATGTCAATCATATATCTCTCCTATAATATATCTCCTTATTTTTGAACAGTTACTGTCACTAACTGTAAGTATTCTTCCATTGTTACATGAAGATAATCTAAAGTAAGTGCATGTAATTCTTACTTTTCTATCCATCCCATATTGTTCAAGATTTTACGCCATCGATCAGCAATGATATTCACAAAGAAAGCCAACATAAACGTCAGAGGTATGTAGTTGAGCCTTGAGTCGAAGTTATACGCCACTTTTTCAAATGTCCTAAAACATAACTCGAAAAATTTGGTATTGGTGCTGCACTCAGCTATGTAAGTAGGAGTATTTCAATAAGTTCAAAAACTCATCTCTGATAATCCGATGATAAAGCATATCGGTAGACGGCGAATACAATGTAATAAGCTACAGTCCATAAAGCAAATTCAGACTTCACAGACTTCCATATTGAACCACGCCATCGGAGGAGAAGTTTCAGGAAAGTGATTGTTGATACCGAGGAGACATCAAGATTATAAGAAATCGTCATGCCCTCATGAAGAAATCTGAAGTGAAGATGTATATCTTCTCGTCTTACTCTTTAGATCAAAAATTTCGGCCGTATCTTATAAGCTGGTCAAACTGAATGATATCTAAACATATTTTAGTAGTATTGTACGAAGGAGGAAGCGAAGCCCAACTTTGCACGCGGCTGGCTCGTGAAATCATTGGACGAACATCGCGCTCTGATTGAAAAATTACAAACACATTTGGCAGTAAGCAAATCGTCAAGAGAAAGAATCATCTAAGCTTTATGCCAAAGCAAGAGCCATTTTATGGCTATCTTCTTATCCTTCGCATACTCTTTCCCGAAACGTTTGATGCATCCATTTTCTCTGCCACTACAAGTTCTTATAAAGGACTTCAGGATGTGACGGTTGGCGTACTGCCGCATATTATTAGTAAATTCAATGGATATTTAAAAAGACTTCTCCCTTAGAGCATTGTAAATTCAGCATTTAATACAGATTGAAGTCCAAATAAGGAGACCTAGATATTATGGGTTTTGCAACGTAAAGTAAAACAAAGAAGTGACAATTTTGCTTTTAGAATTGTTAAAAATTCAAAAAAGCATTTTTCACGCTATTGGTGAACCATCACAGGAATCAATCGCTTACTCGAAGTTCTCTTCGGTCTAGAATGTTTCGAAATAGACTCTTGATAGGCTCTTGCTTTTGGAAATTTTTCCTAGGAGCAGCAGTCTCAATAAATTCCTCTAGGCTCTGAAAATAATTGCTTATTCTGTCATAGAACAAATAACTATTTACATCGTTATTACATTTGGTTCGTGCTATTAGTTAACGTTAACGTTGTGAACATGAAATACAAAATTTTAGGAAAATAAAATCAAATTCTAACTCAAACAAAGCATTTTTGGGAAATGGATCATCATTTAGAGAAATACGGTGGCATTGAAAAGGCTATAGATAGACGTGATTTTTCACTCGGTCCTACTTCATTGTTTCGCAGAATTATTCCATACGTTGATATAATCATTTGCTTGCTGTATTTTTCCTCTTACCATTTCTCTACGCATTCGAAATAGATGTGTCAATACAATGTAGCTATTTTTAACGTCAGAAAAACCTCCCGGAAATCTGGATGGCATGTCAGGTTCGGCTTGAATAACCTAGATGACAGCATGTCGCGTACAACATATATATATATATATATATATATATATATATATATACATATATATATATATATCTGTTT